CCCCAAAACCCCAAAACCCCAAAACCCCAAAACCCCAAAACCCCGGGCTATATGAATTTAGTTGAAATAAGAGAATAACTTTACGCATATTTGTTTCTTAATACAAACTTAAACTATAGTTTTTCAGTTTAAACAATATGCACCAATTCTCTCTTCATTCTTTTTTAGTTATGTTCATGGTTTCTTTCATAGTTATCAGTTTGAGATCTATCTATTTCAGTGGAATTTTTAAGCCCAACCTCTAAACTAGATTTAAGAGCTTCTATTGATTTCTCCCATAGGGGTTTATATTCCTGTTCAAATATTTCAAATCTTCCAATAAGCTTTTGAATAATCTGCTTTTGTGAATCTTTTTGAGGAACTCTTGATCTAGTCCTGTTAATGTGATCTAAATCGTATTTCCTATATTTTTTGCTCAAAACGAGTATAAATAATGCTATTTTTATTGAAAATTATTGTCAGTAGGACTAAATTATGTATTTATTTTCCCAAAAAAATAGATATATCATTTTAGCTTTATTTTAAGCTCTAATAAATTATCTTTAGACAGACTTTAACTACTTTTAATCAATAAACTATAGTAATACAAATTTTCTTGACAAAATTAAACCAGGCATAAGCACATAAGCTTAATTAAATAAATTCAGACCAAAGGAATAAAAGAATACTTGTTTTAATAATCTTTTTCATAAGGATTTGGTGTTTGGAATTTTTAAATTAAAAATGTTGTGAAACATAAAAAAAAATCAAAAGATTGTTTTGGAGTTAATTTAAATCTAGTTTAATTTATGTTAAATAAAACTATTCCGAATTATGAAAACAACGTGTTGGGAAAATACCTCCTTATTTTGTAAAAAAATTAAGACTTACATCTCTAGCTCATTAATATTTGCTGATTTGCTATTTATATTTCCTCCAATTAATGCTTTTGTGTCTTTGACAAGGGATTCACAAATCTGGTTTAGAGATACGAGCAATCCGTCTCTTGAGTATTCATGTGGTTTAACATTTAAACTGAACCTGCTAGATCTTGATTCTGATTCTCTTTCTACGATACTTTCAGTTTCTGGAACTATGAGAAAAATATTGAGGTAAGAATAATTTTTCAGCATATTTGTAATTAAGATTAGAAAAGTAATTAAAAAAATATTATTCCCTTGTATAAATTTTAGCATTGGAGAAAAAAGTTAGTATTTATTATACAGATTGCAGCGAGCTGATTTTTTCTAAAATAGTCGAAATACTCAAAATATTTTTGAGCATAAACACTCCAATTAATTTCTAATTTCAACAGTCTCTTACTTGCATCAAAACCACCAGCTGGAACTTTATTACTAAAATGGCTTCCGCTATGGTTTCCATAAGGAACTGATGATTTAGAATAATGATCACCTGATTTGGAGGCATCCATGTTTATATTTCCCCTATACAGGATTGTTTATTTTTGACACATCCACTATCTTTGGAAAACTTTAAGAGGTTTACAAACATTTTTATAAGCGTTGGGTGATAGAATTACAAGAGATTTAACATCAAAGGCTCTACTTCTACTGTGAAAAAGAATTTGTCTAAAGAATAACTTGGGTGTTGTAACAGTGAAATTTCATTTGATTACAACTTTCTAGGTCAGTTTATCTGTAGAATCAGTGAAAATATGTTTGTCTTAAAATTTAATAAAGTTTGTGCGATCCTTTATAAATGTCCCCAAATGCAAATCAGTGTTTTAATTTGAATACTGTTGTTGATAAAATAGATTTTAACTAAATTAAGAAAGTTCATTTCTTCAAAATAAATATCACAATTATGAACTAAAATTTTTAAAGATTCTACATTCTCTGATCTTGTTTTTAATATTGTTGTACTCTCTCAAATAAGTGAACTAAAAAACTTTAATAAAATTGGATTAACACATAAACTCATTATTCTGGTAGCATGAATTTAATTTGTTTATTCAGTTTACTCTCAGTAATCAGAATTAATAGTATTTAAACACGAGTTTAAGACTCAACAAAAAGCCCAAGAAATTAATATCTGAATTCTGACTAAACAAACTTCAAGATGGCTGTTTCTTTTCTGTAAACCTTCGATTCGTGGTCTTAAAAAACAGCTAGTCTAAACAAAATTCGATTTGCTCTTAAAGATGAGACGTCCAAATGAAATCATTATAAGCACTAACCTTTCTGAAATAAAGGGGTTTGAACTTCTACTTCCATTATGAGCTTTGAGGGAAGGAGTATCGTTCGCACTCTCCTTTTCTTCTTCAGTGAAGCTCAGGGATTCTCCATAAACGTATGGTTCAATCAAGTCTTTCTTAGGGGGTTGGTTTTGTTGTGTGTACTTGAGTAAAATCTTTTGAATTTGATTCTCTCGTTTTCTGTAATAGTTTTAGTAGCATTAAAATCTTCAGTTTCTTAACCTTAAAATATCTTAATAAATAATCATCATATTGATAAGAAAGCATTTCAAAATTTGGCTGAAATTTTTATTTTTAAACTTGAAATAATGGAAATTTTGCGTTCACAAACAGTTTTTATCAGCATTAATCATCATAAAATATTTCGATTTGTCGAATAATTGTAAAGAAAATAAGAGAAAAGTCTATCTTTCTACTGAGGGACTTCCATGGAGATGAGAGAAAAGAGATAAGAATAAAAATTAGAGAGGCATTCATAAACTCATAAAGCTAAGAGAGTGGGAAGAGTAAGCTTTTAAATAATAATGCTTATGTATATTAACCATCGATTTATGTAGATGTATAATTTAGTGAATATAATTTGTGGCATCATTACGATCTCGATATTCACCTTACACCATAAATTACTATTTATACTTAATAAGTCTACTTTAGAGAGGAAAAGATCCGAGTTGGACCTGAAATATTCAAAATTATATTCAGAAAATGCTTCATAATTTTTATTCTCTTAAAAATTTGTACTCTTTTTGCACAACAAATAAAATGCAGTTTGAGTCCAACAAAACATATGGAGTTGAGCTAAATCACAGAACAAGCAATTTTTAATTTTAAGCGAGATGAAAAGCTTGCTAGTCCAAACTAAAGCCCTTACTCTGAGCCTGGAAGAGAGAAATGATTGTGAGTTTCCATTTCCAAAATAAAATTTAATTTCTAAATATATTTAGCAATCTTTTATATCACCTTTGGGGTTTTGGGGTTTTGGGGTTTTGGGG